ACGACACCAATCATAATAAGTCCTTAATAAGCAAGCTACTCCCAGAAACAGTTTCAGGAGTTAGTATTTGTAAGCTTTATAGAAAAAGACAAAGGGTGGATTCTGAAAGTCCTCAGAAAAACCGCCTCTTAAAGGTTACATTTGCCACGGTTGAAGAAAGGAATCTGATTCTAGATAACTCACGTAAACTGATTGGACCCGAAATATACGTCCGTGAAGATCTCAGCCTATCTGATCGTATTAAGAGACGAGCTGCAGAAGTAAAGATAAACGAGCGCCACCGAAATGGTGAAAGAAACCTCGTTCTTAAGGGTTTTCAAATTGTAAAAGTTTGGAGCAAAATGATCCCAAAACCACTCTGGCTGGCAAGAAAAAACCTTCACAGACTTAACGATATGCCACACAAATGCTCGCAGCCTACTAAATAAAATAGTGGAGCTCAAGACAGTGGTTTACAGAGAAAAACCGGATATTATTGCTGCCTCAGAAACCTGGTTAACGTCAGAAGTATTAGATAATGAAATTCAGTTGACTGGTTTTTTATCCAGTAGGGCTGGTAGAATAAACCGTAGGGGGTGGAGTTGTCCTGTACACGGAAAATACCCTAACCAATAAGAGCAGTTGAAACAATGGCACATGTTTCAGGGATATGTGATCTGGTGCGATGCAAGCTGAAATGTAGACGGCAAGATATTTAATTAGTTGTAGTATATCTCAGTTCAGAATGTGTAGCGGATAAATTACTCCTAAGTAAACTTAAGTCCTGGTGTAACAAGGGTAAAAGCCTTGTAGTAGGCGATTTTAATGACCGTATATAAACCGGGTTAACTTAGAAATGGGGTCATCGATAACGTCATTCAGTTGCAAACTGTTGGAAACCTCGATTGCATTAGCGTTATTAAAAACATTAGAAATCCCACAAGGTGTGTTGAGTTCGTGTAGACAAATATCTTATAGATTGGTAGTTACATTATGACAAATCTACAGTTTTAGGATTGGGTCTATTATTAGAGCAGTACTAATATCGAAGTAGACCATAAATCTACAGAATTACCATATTTATTATGGCACCAACACCAATGAAGGCCGTCTGTTTCTCGTAGTCTAAAGACTGATCTTATTCACTGCAGGCTTCTATGGGAAGTTTCAGTGTCTGCGAATAAGGTGAATATGTCACATTAAGGAGGGAGGGTGGCGTTACTGACCAGCAAACATGATGGTGGGGAGATAAATTCAATCCACCCATGTCTGTAGGGCAGAACATTTTGTTTAATTACGGCTCCTTATGGTTTAATGGGATGTCACGAACTTGTGGTATTGAAGCTGATTTATCATGCAAAATACCTCTTTAAATCGTGTTACGAACGTTGAATTGGTTTCACTTCCTACCCAGTAATCCTATTACAAGCAAACTAGACAATTCACTAATATACGAAGCCTACTCAAGACCCTATGATACCTGAAAAAAATAATAATACAAAAAAAAACGAAAGGGGCTCTAATAGCTACGATAAAAAAAGATAGCCAATTGTATATCACAATACTGTTTCTAGCACCATATTTTATTTAATAACCACACATAATCCCATACTCTCAGCTCCTTTCCGAATCGCCTCCATTTGTCAGTTGTATGTCCACTCACACCTTGTTAACACTTATTTTCTTTAACGTATTAAAATGCTCTTTCTTAACAAATACCTTAATAAAAGAAAATTAGACTGAGTAATCATAACTTAAACATTCCTTCATGAATATTGGCTACTCTGCCCCTCGTGTTTTCTTTTACTTGCTCCCTCTTTCAGCCCCCTTGTGATATGGAACGGGTGACTTCATCCTGCACCATCCTCAAAGCCTTAGACATTCCAAAGGGACATAAGGTTGCGACATTTAGAAGCTCCCACCTTCAATGGACCTATCCTTGACCATCAGTTGCACATTCGCAACGCAACTTTCGTGAAGCGCGCCAACTGTGATACTGATTAAAACCATCTACATTCATATCTTATAAATTATCAACCCAGCTGTGTAATTTACTACAGTGGATATTGTATCATTTGTATCAATTTGATCTTGCCTGTAAACTGGCATGCCTCATGTAACAAACTGTTATTTGAGAATAAATTATTATTATTGTTATTATTATATAATACTGTGGTGTTTGAATGAACTAATGATTCCATTATATTTGTTGAATGCTTGATTTCGAATTCTAAATACAGTACATTTGTTTGTGGTTATGTAGTAGTTCTTGATTCGATTACGTTATTTCTAGGATTTTTAGTTCATACTAAAATTCAAACAATTCGAAATACAATAAATACCCTTACAGCTTTTTCACAACACTTGTGTGCAAATAAGTTGCTTGTAAAAACTGATTGCAGTGAAAATAATCTATATGAAGTCTGCATGTTTGGCAACATGTATAGTCAATAAAATGGATCACACACTGGATTTTTATTACGTCTATTCAACTTGTTTAAGCATCGAAATCTTATTTACAGTCTTAGCTCCTCACATACAATGATAAATCCGCGTTTCCACCTGGTAACTGAGATAACTAAACAAGGAAATTAGTGTATCTAATCATTTATGATCTTGAGTTTCAGTCTTCAGTAACAAGGATAGTAGGTTGATGAACCTGTATTGATCCTGACACACTGCTTCCCAGTGAAGGTCCAGCTTCTCCTTGAAAGTATTCACTGATGGGGCTGATACCACTTGTTCGGGTAAGGCGTTCCAATCATTGACTACTCGATGAGAAAAACGGGACCTCACTTTAAGTTTATTAGATCACGGTTTATGAACTTTCTTGCTATGACCTCGGAGATTATTAGTGCTGGAGGGAGCAAAAAGTTAAGAGACATTAACACCCAAATCCCAATTAAAGATACGAAATGCCAGTATAAGGTCACCTCGCGCCCTACGAAACGACAAGAGGAAAAGGTTTAGGCGTTTTATACGCTCATCGTAAGGGAGTCTAGAAAGACCCTTCACTAACTTCGATCCCACACGCTGGACACGCTCAAGGTAGTTAGTATCCTTTACCAGACACGGGCTAGCTGCTTGGATACAGTACTCTAAATGTGGTCTTACGTAGGTGTGATATAAAATTCGAAAAATTTCATCTTCAAAAGATTTGAACGCTCGGCGAAGTGACCATAACGCACGAAAACCTTTGACAGCTGCTGTTTCGCAATGCGTAGTTGTTTTTAAGTCATGACTTAATACTACTCCTAAGTCTTTATGCTCTTGAATGCATGGAAGAGGTTTACCCTCAATAGTGTAACGGTAACTATTACCGTGACCGATGTGCATTAACACACTCTTCCTAGCATTGATTTCTAAGCCCCACTCTCGAGCCCATCTAACTAAATCGTCTAAGTCAGCTTGAAAATCCAAATGGTCAGCTGCACTTTTTATTGTTCTCCAGATCTTTACATCATCCGCAAACAATAATGTCGACGACCTAAGCAACAGCGGTAACTCATTAACGTAGAGAAGGAAGAACAGAGGGGCTATGATGATGCCTTGGGGTACACGACTTTTGACCGGCTTCCAATCGGATAGCGTTACGTTGACCCTCACTCTCTGTTTACGGTCACATAAGAAGTTACCTATCCACTCCTGTACAGTACCTATCATTCCGAAGCTCGTGAGCTTCTGCATAAGACCTAAGTGTGAAACCTTGTCAAATCTTTTGCTAAAATCTATGAATATCACATCGACCGGCAGATCGTTATCTAGGGCTGCTGTCCAATCCTCCCTCGCAATAAGTAAGTTAGTCAAGCATGAACGCTTGTTACGAAATCCATGTTGCTCAGGAGCTAATAGGTTGTGTGAATCTATGTGGCTTAGCAACCTAACCCGAGTTATCTTTTCAAGCAACTTAACGACAATGCTAGTTAGACTAACAGGCCGGTAGTTACATACGATCTGTCTCTGACCGTCCTTAAATATAGGACTGACTATAGCGTCCTTCCAATCTGTAGGGAGTTGAGCGAGTGAAAGGGACATGTTGAAGAGTGTCGCGAGCGGTTTTTGAAATAATTTCCGCAAGAGATGACAGCAGTCGTGGATTTAACCCGTCAGGGCCCGGTATCTTACCAGGTTTGAGGTTAGTTATCAACGGAAGGACAGTTTCCTCAGTCACCTGTACAGATTCAGTGGTTGGTATCTCGGTGTGAGTGTGACAAGTATTTGTTACAATAAACGTAGAGAAGACTTCGCTAAAATTGTTTGAAAAAGTCTCAGCTTTTGCTCGATCTGATTCAGCTAGTAAATCTGAATTTTCGTGTAACAGTAACGGGTGAATACCATCACTACGTTTCATTCGCCGTTTAACATACGAAAACAATCGCTTCGGACAAGTACGGTTATCATATACTAACTGTCGTTCGCAAGTGGTACGGGATTTGGCTATGGTTTTCTTACAGATATTACGGAATTTTTGGTACTCGCGCTTAAATGATACATGACCTGTCAACAAGAACAAGTCCCAGAAGTGTTTCCTACGCTTTAACAGCTTCCGGAATTCCTTATTAATCCATGGAGGGCAGTGTGATAGCTTACGTGCTGACCATGGGATAAACGGCAATGTTACGGACTCGAATGTAGCCTTAAACTTATTCCATTCATCTTCGATCAATCCATCCGCGTCGACCGACCAATCAGTCGAGATAGCACAATTTCTGATTGTCGGAATATTGGCTCGCCAGATATTGGGATGGGGTGGAGCAGATATGAATTGTATACCATGTGTCCTAAACTTAAAGTGAATTACAACGTGATCACTGTTCACTAGTGGGGGAAGGTGCTGAATATAGAAGACATCCTCATAGTGGTGGGTGAGGGCGAGGTCCAGATATTTGAAGCATTTACTCACCCTCTTTATACACCAAACACACTATTCAGGTGTAATACAACTCCAAAACATACAGCCTCACACTCTCTCAAAACTGAAACCGAAATTGAGCACTCGCGGTCAGTTCGGGTGTTTTGGTCCGAAACAATGGCGAGTGCTGTACGCAAGAAACTTGTTATTGTTGGAGATGGTGCATGTGGAAAAACTTGTTTACTTATTGTATTCAGCAAAGACCAATTTCCCAAAGTATATGTCCCTACTGTGTTCGAAAACTATGTTGCAGATATCGAAGTTGATAACAGACAAGTAGGTGTATATGTACTTATTATATGTGGCAGGTTGAATTAGCTCTTTGGGACACTGCTGGCCAAGAAGATTATGATAGGTTACGGCCACTTTCTTATCCTGATACGGATGTAGTTCTGTTGTGTTATAGTATTGATTCTCCTGATAGTTTCGAAAACATTCCTGAAAAATGGTTGCCAGAAGTAGATATCACGAGTTCATAAATCCTATTATAGATCCGGCATTTTTGTCCTGATGTCCCCATCATCTTAGTTGGAAACAAAAAAGACTTACGACATGATGAGGCTACGAAGAATGAGCTTCATAGAACCAAGCAACTTCCCGTCACTTTTAATGAGGGTAAAGAAATGGCTGAAAATATTAATGCTTATGCCTTCTTTGAGTGTTCAGGTACTGTCTTTACTTATTGTCTAGCTTTCTTTAGCTAAGACCAAGGAAGGTGTCAGCGATGTTTTTGTAGCAGCTACTCGAGCCGCCTTGAATTCAGCGAAGAAGAAGAGGAGGAAATGTGATTTAATTTGATCCTCACTGTTCTCTGAATTGTCTAAACTTGATTTTCCGGTCTCCAAAACGTACATTCCCCTCCTAATTCTTCCTCAGGACCTTAAATTGCTACTTCTATTGACTACTTGTTTCTTTAACGATCATACTTTTTGTTTACCAACAAGACAATCCATTCCACGGAAATACTTACCATTTATTTTTGTCTTGATACTAAGACAGGGCATGTCTCATGTAACTTATATTTATTAAGAATAAATTATTATAATCAGTCGGCTCTTTAACTTTGTTATCCAGCATTCATGCCTGTTGATTGTAACAAAATATACAAAGCCAGTTTATAACTAAATTCTGTTCCAAGTTTATCCGGTCTGCAAAACAATTGCGACTCACCTACTTACTATGTGTTATGCTTCGTATATGCACAAGAGTGGAGCGGAAAGTTGCCTTGTTTATTTCTGTTTGGTTTACGTAGCGGCACAGGTTCAGACTAATTATTATTACTTCTCCAGTTACATCTAATGAGTCGGTTTTGGCTCAAAAGAGTGTACTGACTAGAATACTGTTTCATTTCACAATGCCATTACTTGTTGTTTGTGTGATATATAGTGAGTGTTTTACTTATCGTTGTTGTGAAACGTACTTTTTAACCCTTATTTGTTTGCCAATGTAGTCTACTGCTACCAAGAAAGCCGGGTTACACTACTTGTGGAAAGGGCCAGCGACTTGGACTTGTTATAAAACGAATATTTTTGTTCCTAACCTTTTTCCGTACTTCGAATCGCCTCAATGTATTTTGAACATATACTGTTATAACCAGTGTGATCCATTGTCCTGAACATCACAAATCAGAAAACCTGGGTTATCAAGTATTTGGTGGGATTTGAGATACGTCTGCTATATCTCAACAAACAACCCCATTCCATACCACTGTTTGGTTGACTAGTGGTTTAGAACGCCAAATAATATTTCCGTTATTTGTAGCCCAAATGTAATTAGTCAGTGTTGGTTGTATGCTGATTCATCTATTTGTATGGTCAGTAACAAAGCAACTAGAGAGGAATAATAGGAATTGAAGAGGGAGGTTGATTATGAATACAGTGGTCTTGAGTGCTGTTAGAGTTATGAGGGCGGTTATCACTTTCCGGTTGCCTACACCATTGAAGGGTTCTTTTGAAGGTACCTGAAAAGCAAATTGGATTACAGGTGGTCTTAGTGACCTGAGAGCGTGAACGCAGTGCGCAAGGGATAACTGCTTGAGGTCGGTCACACACAACCTTTTTATGAGTAATTTTTGCGTTAGCTCCGTACTTGTTGAGACCTTACCGCCGGAGACGGATATCCGTGGGATAAGGCGAGGTGCACATTTTCAGGGTCGACCTTTTCTAACCCCACCCCTCCTTGTGGGAAGGCAGTATCGCTGTCATGCTGGTTGTCTGAAGGAAACGCCTTATTGCTGTCACACCTCTGTACAGTCAGCAGTAAAACTTCGTCTTCGGACATTTGGTTTGTTGCTTTTAGTCTTACCGCTCTTCAACCGACCTGTCTGACATGGTAGGACCTTGAGGAACGGTTGTTCCAGCCAGTATGGCTTGGTTGCTTCGTCACGATAGGCAAGCCCGACCACCACGTCAAGATAGCAACAACGGTGGGGAACTAGAGATATACATAACAAGGTAATTCTGTCCACGTTTATATACATGCTGTGCAAGCGGGTAATTTATGGTCATACTCTCAAGAGAACTAGAAACCATCTAAACGTTTTATAGATTGAATAACACAGCTTCCCTCTGTGGGGCAATCCTAGGTAACAGAAATCTTAGTGGTGACTTACTAATTAAAGTGCTTGACTTTCAGCTAACGAATCTTAGGTCTCCACACTTCAGTTTGGTTAACAGGTTAGTTGGTCGTCACTGATGGGTTAAGAAAGACAAGGCAGCCTAATTAGATTGCACAGTAGTACTTTGCCAATAATTGTAAACGCTCTCGAATGATCTTGATCAAGCTATCTTGTGTAGACAGTGTCTCCTGAACTAAGTGTAATTTCTTGAAATGACAATTATTTTCGTGTGACTGCTGATTCCATCTTGGTTGTCTCTGTCAACAGTGGCAGCTATCGCTTTTTTATAAACACCACTGTATCAATCAACCTTATCTGACCAATACATCTTGATCATCTAAGTAGATTAGAACATAATCAATGTGTTTCTCCGTTGGCAGTTACCGATCTATTTGAGAGAAAAATATTGCAAACCTAATAAGCAGGATCGAAATCTAACTCAGACGAAATTTCTATTTGTTTGCAAGTTATTGTTTGTTAACACCAACGTAATTTTCTTGCAGTCCACTTTTGAGGGAATGGATGACACTTTGTTTACATGTGACGACTATTGAGTAGTTTGTCTCTGGTCACTGTATATGCAGTGCTCGGGACATATTGTTTGCTAACTTAAGTTTCCCACTTACAAGTGTTAAATGGCTAATTAAGTTTAAAAGCTATTCAAACGAACACATATTCTTATAAAGTGGTACATTGTTTTTTTCAACTGACTTAATCTGTTGAACTGCGTGGATAGTCATCTCTTCGAGAGAACTTCTCACTCTGAATAGATTAGCTAGTTTTCACTGCTAAATTATGTTAATATTAAATGACTTTTGTGCAACCATGAGAGGATGCAGTGAATTAATTATATCATGCACTTTATTACTCCCGCTTAGTTTCTTTAAACAACGACTCATCTGTTATTGGCGGTTGTCAGATTGTAGAAACGTATCTACAGTAATAGTAAATAAGTCTCCAGGTGATCGACTTTCATCCCGCAAACATTAAGGATGCGGTAGTCTGGGACTGGTTCCTATTCTAATGAAATAGTATTTCTTGTTTTAATTCTGGAAAGGTAGCTTCGGATTAATGCTGTCATACTTTTCGTATGGATCGTTGCGGCCACATATTTAGCATGGAAACGGATCGATAGCGTTATACAAACAAGTAAAAAAAATCAGGTCACTTTTAGTCTGAAAGCAAGTTGTTTTGTTTGTTGGTTGGCGTTATTAGTGTTTGCACCTATTTTAAATGTGTTTAAAAAGAACTACACACATTAGGACGTAACCATATGAAGTATTTACTCATGTGTGTACGTATGAGCGTAAATTAATACTACCGTGTAAAGTGTATATAATGCATATAACCAGGTCTGTTCAATTTAGTTAAGGATAAATAGCGTGTCATTAGACTCCTAAATACCTTGAAGTCTAGAATTAGACTTCTAAACATCAGGTTAATCGACTCCTGGGCTATTTAAGAATGTCAATCGATGTTCATCCGGTATCCGGGTTTTCATCCTTACTCCCTAGGATGTGACTGCATGTTTCATTATCAAAGTAACGACTGGATTTGACTGCTAATTTGTTCAATTTCCACTTGAATCTCCGAGTATTGTATCTAATAATCGTATAACCTAAAGGCTTGCTTCAACTGGCGATTTTATTACACTAACCAATAATGAGTCAGTTTTGCGTTCACATTAACAGTCTGGCTTCACATCGCACGCTGATGATCAGAAGATTAGTTACTTGCATTTACCAATGTGCGTGATATCAATATATTTTCAAAGAAGAAATATGGATCAACTAAATTTATAGGATTTCCATTCTGAATAGCATTTTAACTTTAATCCTGAATGTCTCACTTAATAATGACGCGATTTCATTTCAACGCCTTCAATAATCGAGTTAGATATTTCAATTTAGAAACTTTATACAAAACAACCAACTGCCACATTGAGTCATTATAATTTCTCCCTATCAATGTAAAAATTATAGAGTAATGATTCTGTTCAAAGCTTAAAATTGTTAGCTCACCTGACCTACTAGTACTTATTACTCATTGTTTGTGCGTAAATCAAAATAATTGCATGTTTCTTCCATCTCCAAAAACAAGTAAAGTAGAAATTATGTGAACCACTGGTATATTTATTGTCTGATTTCTCTACATAATCTTCGATTCCACTCTTTATTTTGATTATATTTACCGACTAATTGTCTTAAGATTTGTGTATACTATGAACGTGTAACTCTTCTAATAGAAAGAAATGTTTCTCCACTTGACATAATGTGAAAACTGTCTTGTAGATTGAGTCAAAAGACTGCTCTTTGTGATCCAATCAGATTCATGTCTATTTAAATAAAGTATGTAGTCCTAAAGATTCCATGTAATCACAATTCGAAGTTAGATGAGAATGGAGTATAAGTCAGGCTAAATTCGATAATATAACAGATCCGAAAGGCCTTCAGCAGTATCAATCTCTCAGAAATATGGTTGTATCTGAGACTAATGGTAGTGAAAGATGGGACTGAAGGAATTGCAATTCATAGTGGTATAATCCTCTAGATGCAGAACAGTGTGCTCATATGACTTCAAGTGAAGATGTTGCTTGGTAGTGGGGCATATGAACTCCTGGTCTGTCGGGTGAAATGTAAAGAACAAATCACTATACTAGTTTTAATTCGGTGTGACTCTGGTCAGAAGGGTGGTACGTTTCTCTCAAATTAAGCAAAATGTTGGGTCAATAAAAGTAGGCGCTTGATGGTAAGCTATTTTAGTACAGGATGTAATAGCTTCAAAAATCTGGACGAAGGTGCTAATCAGCCCAGTCCTCATCCATTGTTAAGATCTGCCACCATATGAGTCGTTCTTTATTGCACCACTGAATTTACCTGGGAACACATTTACTCTATGTGTCCCTTTAAAAATTAAGTTTCTTATCTATCGTATAGGTGATTTTTTAATTATTCCATGAAGCTATATTCTCCTCTTGGATCACATCGTCTACGAGTAATCTTTCCCATTACCACCAATACTGCTACTACACACACTACTATGGCATTGCAATTTTGAACTGATCCGCACATGTGGTAGGTTCTAAGTTGCATTTGACTAACTTTTAGAGTGCACACGATCATGCCGGTCGCGCGACGAACAAATGTATTGGTTCTCTCGTAATTAGTTTTACAACTAATTCTCGATCATTATCCGCAAAATCTTGTTTATTTGCGTATCATATTACACAATTCCTTTAGATAACAATTATTTGAGATACATCAAATTTATTTTAAGCTATGGCCATCTTAATTTGACATATCATTAATGGATTGCTTCAGAAATGGATGAATGAAATAAATTTATAAAATATTTCTAACTTGACTACTGATAAAATATTAACTTGGAAAAATTAGGATATTTTACATTTTCAACAAAAAGTGTGTATAAGGTAACTTTGTTAGTCTCTGTGCGCAATATGATTTCTTTTAGCAAATTTGTGTACATGATTAAGCGTCTATTAACCTCTTCTTAGTCCTTATTAACCCATCTTTGTGAATCTCACTTTTACACACCAATATATCAACGAGGCATTTTAATTCATTTTAGCAAATTGAGTTTGTAAGTGAAGTTACAATGTAAAACAATACTGATGATCTTTTTATTACATATCCTGATTAAGTTGATCAACAAGCTACAAATATCCACACACATCCTAATAGAACCGTTGTTCTTAGTTAGTACTAATATGTATACGTTTTGTGTTGAATAGTTAGTCATAAAATCATATATTTTTTTGCTGAATACAAAACAATCCATTTATGTTTGATTCCATGTGTTTACAAATTAGACAAAACCAAATATTGGCCGTGTGTTCTGATATACAGTATAGATAATAACAAAATACTCCTGAATGGTGCACAGTTTTTCGCATAAATTGAGAAATTATTGTAATAATACCATGATTGAATGTCGCTGATTTGTAATAAAAAATATAACTTGGTTATATATTTTAACATTCTTAATTGAAGCGAAAGTTTTGAATAATCGTAATTCATGGATCAATAAATGAGAATCAATTCTTTCTATATTATAGTTATATTATTTTACAATCACTTATTTTGTCTAGGAGTACATATTGTCTTTCTTTGATGTTAGAATACGATTAAGATTTAACTAAATAGTTTTCTTAAATAACAAAAGTAACTCAAGGTGTAACTAAAGAAAAGTTAAAGACAATTATTTGCCCCAAAATGCCCTGATACGGCCGAGAGTGGGGAGAGTCAGCTCTCCCTCTCGAAATGTTCTCACATGGCCACGCGCACACAACCACTGTCAGGGAAGTCCTACTTACTAACTTCTCGCGGCACCACTGTTGTTTACGAAACTGAGAGAACGAAAAGCGAATTTCCGGAGCTTTAACCGAGTTGGTAGATACGGAGGATCCATCTACGGGGGTTGGAAAACCGTGATTCGAAACCAATGGTGCACATGGGCTCCAGTATCCTGAAGGAGCAAATGGCGTATGAACCAATCGTTGGTCACCGGCTACCATGGGACTGCATCTCCCGACGTTGTTCCACCGCCTTGTGGATTAGACCTTTAGGTCAAAGGATCGGGGTGTGGCTCCCTAAGGAAACCACTTGCTTCAGTTTGGGTACAAATGTATCCCAGCTCACACAAATCGGATGATTTATGTGGTGCATCCTTGTACTCATATTTATGCTTAAATAAATAAACGACAAGCTTGACAGAATAACGCAGAAACTTATTGAGTTTCTTAACTTTCATAGGTTTCTACACAATTCTATCAAGCTCACTTGCTCGAATAAACGGTTTTTATCAATAATTTTTCAGAGGGAACCTTGGTAATATTCTGTGTTTAAGTGGTGACACTTTGACCTCATAAAAAGACGTTAAAACAAATAAATTGTGAAACTACAACACCATTCTTTTCGTATACTGTTTAACTAACACGAGAATATTGGCTTGTTTCAAAACTGAAACTGCTGATTTTATATCTGGAGCCAAGTTATACTTTACTGGGTCATTTAAACCATAATTAGTTTTTTTATTTTTATGAAAATATTTTAAAAACTTTGATTGTATTTCAAGAATTTATATTTAACATAACACCGACTGTGTACTAAAGTATTTGGAATCGATCCCTTATTCTTTAGACTGAAAAACTACTATTATTAGTACTAAGCTTTCTCATTGCTTGTTAGTCAGATATATTGGCTTATGTCCGCAGTTAAAAGTTGGTACATTTTTACAAATTGTGAGACGATAGAGGCCTATTAAATAATACTAGAATTTTAGTTAAGTGTTCTAACGTTAGCTATTCGTGATGATAACTTGTATGACCTACTAGTGAAGTTTTTCTCCTGCTCATATTGGTGACCAGTAGTATTCATATACATATTATGATCATGTTAATAAAAATTAGAAGCATCGAAGAGCTAAATATATTCGGTAATATAGAACTCAAGTGATACCGACGTGAAATAAGCCTAAGGCATCCAAAAAACAAACAAGAATATTTTAAAGGCTACGAAAAATGAATAAATCAGTGCACTGAACTAAACAGGGAATCTGTGTTATTAAAATGAGAGTCCTTAAAACGCAATCATGGTACATTCTCCCCGTTGGTAAATTATCTTTTTCCAGTACGTATTTAAAATACTGTTTTATGAGTGACTGCAAATATTATGACTGATACACAAGTTTTCACTTTTTCTAACTTAACCATTCTATGTAACATTCTACAAGATTGAAGGTTCAAAATAATCATACAGATACTAAGTTATTTTGATTTTGAATTGTAGTCTGTGTAAAAGTGAACATTATACAGATTATGAAACTATTTCACATAGTAATTAGGACAGTGCATCAGTGTTACTAGTATCTAAATTTGTTAAAATATTCAGACATAATTGTAAAAACAGTGTTTATATGAACTTATGTCTAGCACGTAGAAAGATACAAGTGATATGTTACACAAAATACTAGATAACCAATGTCACAGCGCATTGCTTAAAGTGAAAAACGAAAAATTGATTAAATGAATAATGCGTCAACTGTAAAACTATTGGAGTATATCTCTCGTACAAAGAATAGCAATATGTTCTTAAGTATGGGGTTGTGGAGAATGTTAAGTTTCATTGAGATCCTGAACCGAACTAAATTACACCACCAGGAGTCCCATACTACATTTTGATAACAGAACGGTTTGGTTTTCATTCCATACGATGAACTTTTCATGAAGACATTATGTTATCTATAAATACTTTTCTTCTCTACATAGTCATGATAGATAAGAATACTGCTAAGAAACAAATGGGCTGAACACTATTTTACCCATAAGTCTCAATACTAAAATACTATTATTCATTGCATTTAATACTACATTATTTAGAGATGATTTGCAGGAAGTGACTTACCTGGATTTTATAATTGTCGACGCTCAGCAACATAGTGTGACTGAAACTTTGCAGGAACTCTAGAATTCTCCCAGATTAAACAAGCATTGGAAATACAAGTAGTAATAAGGTCGTCATTGTCTCCCATCAAGACTGGAATGGCTCAAGAACTTGATCGTCTGAGGGGATTTAGGGATTGCTCGAATAGCACGACGGTGGTATCTTAGTATCGAGGATAACGTAATTATACACGCACAAATTAGTCGGACTAGCTTCGGCTCAGATTTTTATGTAAGGGTCAGTGATAGTATATGGTGGCTTAAAACTATGGCCGCATGACAGCCATCAAGCCAATAAACAGGCGACGCAGATCAATGGCATCATGTCGTTACTTTACACTTCAACAGCAGTTACAAATAAGGAGTTGTAGAATGCTTCGCCAGTAATAAAGGACACTTTTCGTTTAATCGCTTTTTCTATTTGTGCTAATTAGGAATTCCGCCGTATATTTCTCTTCCCCTGATTCGGATTCAAAATACGATACCTTTGTGTGTGCTCACTGGATCCTCTAACTTAAATACTGGTTCCTTCGTGAGCACTAGGGTAAAAATTTCGCTGTCTTTATGATTACTAGCTACTAAACCCAACTCGACTACTTTTAATTATCCTATCGAGCCGAGAATATTGGAGCAGTTAGTGTTTAATAATAACTGGATTAGGAAACCAAGATAACTCGTTAAACTACTCACAAGTAGTTTGAATTTCCAAGCAGTTTTTTCCGGCCCGAGTATCACTTATATTGATCTCGTGGGCAGTTCTAGTTAGGCATGAAAATGAATAACTAAAAATTCCAGCGGTTAGTAAGATTAACACACCTGGATAGCATCATGTGAGTTAAGTCATGCATTAACGTATACATCATCCTGTTAAATACTTAAAAATGTTTCAACAAAAAATGTCACAATCACAAGAGTAGTGAACAAAAAATCTATTAACAAACTATCCCTATTACCAAATTTGAAACGAAGTTTATAAAGAAGGGTTTAATTTATAAAAACTGTACTCAATACATGCTAAAATGTTTTTTTAAATATGAATTCAATAAACTACAATATTCACTTCTACAAAATGGTAAGTAACGTGTTGCAGGCTGATCTTGCGAGTTCCTAATATATACTTGTGGAGATAAAGGAGATTTAGTACCGGTTACATGAACTAGTGGAACTAAAAGAATTCAATTACTACTGGGGCCTCATTAAACAGATGACTCATAACGATGTGAAAACTGTACAGGGATTAAACAAAACTATGTAATATCTTGAGGACAGTACTCGTTAACAATCTATCAGGAAAGCAACTATGGGTTGATTGAAAAAATACGTAGTAATCCTGAGATTTGAATGAAGTTTATTGATTGCCAAATACAGTGCGGGCTAACTTATATAAACACTAAATTTGGCAACCGTGTCCATATTATCTGCGAACATTCAGTACAATTCACTATGTAATAACTTGAACGATACGTAAAAACGCAGTCAGAAAGATACAAACTCGGAACCGGCTTTAATCACTCACCGTCGGACCAGTAATTAAAATGTTTAGAACAAATTGTCAAAAGAGGAAGTTACTTCCGACATTTAGAAGTACGAGGTAAAAATCGTAAAAATGTGGAGTTACGAGAATTTTTTGTCTTACATTCTAAAAGATAAGCATATAAGTAATATTCTACGAAAAAAAACACAATACAAATGACGCAGAAATTACTAAACAAGGTGTTTGGTATCAAATAAACTTCATGAGAATGTAAATACAAATACTTGGTAGCACCCCAAAATATTTGAGCAAATAATAACCACACACGAAAAAATATGCCGCCTAGAATCGATAGAAATTGCAAAAAGTAATTGTATTTGAACTGGTCAACCTCATAAATATTTTCTATGCAAGTCACCTATCTCAACCTGATATGAGATGGTAACGATTTTACGGAACTTAGTGTTGTGCTCATTTTTGAACGGGAAGAGGAGAAATGTCAAGTGTGGATAAAGAGCTAATGCACTATACGTAGATTAGTGATGTTCTATATTTTAGAATAAGGAATTTAAAACCCATTTAGAACTAATTCATTTGGTTAAGCCTTGATTCTGAGGTGTCATTCCCAAAAACAATTTTAAAAATGCTTGTTTATATTGTACGGACAGATTCTGTGCTTGTGAACAGGTATTGGTATGAGAAGTAGCGATAAATGGTGCGTACTTTCGACTGGTTGCATTTAATGAGTATAAGCAGCCCATGCAAATGTGTTAAGCACAAGGTGAATTTTATCATATATACAATACAAGGAACGATGAATACAAAGGATTCTAACTATCAATGAAACAGAAATGTTTATTCCATTGGGAAAAAATGCCCTTCCTAAACACCCAGCGTAACTTGAATTTCAGACTAAAAGACAAGCAATTTAAAAATTAGAAAACGACTTTTATAAATTCAAATAAAAAACAGGAAATACAAATTAGAAAAGTAAAACGGAAGTGAGAAAACATCACAAAGTTTTATCATAAGACTTTGGGAAAAAGCATGAGATTAGAAATGCAACACTAGGATAATTCTAGCTTACGTACAATTAACATCATTATATCTAACAATAACAAAACATTAAGCAGTTGGCAAATTTAAACCAGATGAGCTGCCAATATCAGAATCAAGAATTAGAGCACAAGAATTAATGCAATAACGAAGACCTGTAGGTTTCGGGCCATCGTCAAACACGTGTCCTAAATGAGCATTGCATCCCTTGCAAGAAACTTCTACACGGACTTCACCTAAAAAATAAATCGAAAACCAAAATGTCTCGTATAATCCATTAAAAGTGATGAATTATTATTGAATATTGGGAATATTGAACAAATCGAAAAACTCACAGCGTTAAAGCGCACACTGCTTTTCTACATATGTCAAAAGAGTTACTAATTACTCAAGTTAACAGCTTGAAACTTACATCATTTGTATACACAATGAAGTATAATTATAAGATCGAGTGTCAGTTAAGGAATTTTGAAACACCAATTTTGTAATACGAAGCCGTCTTGCTGCTCTACACAATATTAGTCTTATGCACCCATATAAAGTTTAATGAATTTAAGACAAACGGGATTTAGAGGACAAGGAAAAGCAAAATCTGACTATTAAAATGTTTGAAAGTCTGTGATAATACTATGTATTTAGTGGTCGGTATTCAAATTATATATTTGAGAACACACCAAGATTACACAAGTTGCGTAATTAGGTTAACTATTTTAATATAGAAATACACCTTATGAACACAAATTCTAGTTTGCCCATCAAATAGTTGTACCTTCATATATATATATATATATATACTTCCATGAAAGCAACAGGATGAATTTTCATCAATATTCTAAGGACGGTACAGTAAATAAGAAACTTATCATACTTATTATACTTTGAAACAGGACAATCGAAACAGAATATGATCCATCAATTTGTGTGAAGACTCGAGGTGTCGAACTTACACCAAACTACATTAGATGAATTTAGGTTCGTAACAACTTATTGATCGCTGGACTACAGATTAAATAGTGGTGAGCCAGTGATGATGCTAAAAAACCATGCCATTCGTTTAGGATAATTGTAAGAATATAAAGTGAGAATAGGTTTCTTAGTACTTTATTAGACCTAGTATGTCTGTTGAGAATAAAATCACTAAGCGTTTCGAAACTTGTTGGCGCAAAAATTTTAAAAACTTGTAATTTAGCCTTATTAAGAAGACATAATTACTTTTAAACTTCTTTAGCATTTGAACATTTTGCTCAATTACTAATTATTGTCAACAATATTTTTAGGGATGCTTTGTGTACTGATGATGTTCGATTTCCCATTTTAAAATAACTTAGATATGGAAGTCAGTCAGCTATAACGTAGGGCCAGGTACATATATGCATCGATCTAAGTTGCCACACTTCATTAGAACGACAAGACGAACACCAAATTCATAGAAGTAGTTACTTTAATGGCAGTAATATAAAAAAGAAAGATTTCACATAAGGATATGATACAGGGAGGAAGAATTAGTTCGTAGAAATAAAGGTATAAAACAATTTTAATCTCACGGTTTAACGGAAGACAGAAAATGTATACACGTACATGGTTGTGATCGGTTCTGAGCCATATCACCAAGAGTCTCCAACTATTGATTACGATAGTCACGCAGACCCCAACCAAGTAGTATGCATCTAACAACACGGCTAAGACCAGAAGTTCGTAACTTCAAGCAATGACTCCACGTTTTGGTTTGGCCGCCTCTAACGCTAGTCATCGTAGTGATCGGTGTTCAGGCATACGTAACACGTGGCCCAACTATCTCAGTCGATGAAGATTCACAACCTCATCAACTGATATAACATCATTCCCTAATACCCTGCGTCTAACCTCACTATTACTTACCCGGTGATCCCAGGAGATACGAGCAATATTTCTAAGTCACCTGTGATCAAATACGAGTATCTTCTACTCTTAATGGCCACGTTTCGCCACTGTAAAGTAAAACGGAATGAACTGTCGCACAGTATACTCGTCCCTTATTTGATAGACGGATATCTTGCTTTCGCCATAAGTGACGTAAATTGGCAAAAGCCAAACGAGCCTTCTGAATCCGCGCAGAGATTTCGTCAGACAACAATCCATTAATGCTGATCAGACTTCCCAGAAAAGTGAAGTTGTCGACACGTTCGACTACTTCACTCCCTATCCTTAGTTCAGGTGTTGACATAGGCTATTACACAAGTTGTCTCGATAAACAAAAATGAAATGAATTACCTAGTACATACCTGATGACAAATCAATGGTTGAGGTCAATGAGTTACACTCTATAGGACTGTTAAATGTAGGCCAGCCACAACTACAGAAGAATTTCGCTTCACTGCTAAACAGTTTTGAACTACAGACAACACATCTATATATTCCAGGTGATTTCTCATTTACATATTTCCCTGAAAAAGGTCTAAAACAATAAGATAAATCAATAAGGCATACTTTTCCGTTTCTTTATTTTGTGTTACACGGAATTCCAGGTCACTCAGTCTGGCCTTCAAAGCATCTCGAGAAAATGCAGATTCATTATTTGCGTCTTCATTATACCTGAAACAATTACTTTCTTTTAACAAGGCTTGGATTCTTGGTGAAAGAGTGTCCATTTGTTTAACCATCTGCAATACATTCATCCTAAAATCAAAATAAGCACTTTCATTTCGGATGTAATCCACTTTTATTGAATAACTGTATAGATTAATTTCATATTTTTATGTGATAATTAAACACTATAGGTAAATACTTTGTAATGCACGAACAGTTGAACACACATGACAAGAAATGAAACATTGCGGTTATTTTCATAAACAAAAATAGTCTACTTACCATGACCCCTATCCCATATGACTCTATTTTTCATGAGATAGAAATATATACTATCAATTAATCCAGTGAAAAGTTCGAACAGCTTATCCAACATAAATTTAAAAACATATGATCATGCTATCATAATAAAACCATTAACTTCAATTATGTTGAGAACCTCAGCAGAATCGTTAATGGGAAAACTTACCAGAAATGTATGATAGTCACAGAACTTTTATGTTAATGGGAACTAGGCAAGCACTTAAAAACCGAGATCTGACATTAGATAAAATGCCACATGTGTTGTAGCTTATAGCTAAACAAGCAAACATTTAAATAAATTACATTAGATTGCTCTCATACTTTCCAACATAGTACAGTAAACCGACACTTGAAATTTCACTTCAACAAGAAGAAACTGTTATGAAACCTCACAAACTACAGATTAACATGCAACAGTATTCATAAGTCATGCAATACTATATAAGGTGATAATAAAAGACAATCTCCCGTGGAAGGGGAGAGTTTCTTGGGTACACGTCGCCTCTGAAGTTCGGAACCTATTTCTGTTCCATGTTGATAAGATTATATGCCACAAGTGGAAGGTGGAGCCGAACGCTTGATACACACATTAAAATCAGAAATTTATCACCAAATTGAAGTTGAATTGGCCCCACAACTAGTTAGTTTTCTGTTTGTGTAAGAATATACCGTGGCTGTAGTTAGTCATACATCAGGGGACACTACTGAAGTAAGAATATTTCGAACCATCATATGTAACCCGTCAGACAGAAAAGCATTGGTCAATGAGTGCGGGTTTGAGCCTCGATTCATCCATATTGCTCACTCAAACAGTTAGTTAAACTAGCCCTGATACTAGGTATGAATCAAAGCCAAGTCAAAAAATATGTACTAGGCTGCCAATACCGAAGACTTTTTACGGCAATTAACCAGACAAGAAAGGCGCAATAAGTGTAAACTTGAGGGAAATATAAGCGACATCGCCCAAGAGAAATTTGTGTGAATTTAGGTTACATTAAACCTATGGATCTCATCTTTGCCTTTTAAGAGGGCATATTGAGACATCTCTTGTGCGTCCCGAAATTCACACTTTAAAGGTTGTCAAATAGTGCTGCAATACTAGCGGACAATTGGTGAGCACTATGCTTATTTTGGGGTTTTATTCTGAAACCTCGAGTGAATTTGAAGAAATCATCAATACTCCAATTGGTCCAGGGTTCTTTCCTCAAATTTTCCTAAACTCTGGAGAAAACTAGTCGCTTTTAAAAAGCCTCGGGTGATTGTGGATGACTTTAGCTGAAGGCATCTAAAATTAATTTGGACCAATGTATATAAAAAACAAGCAGATATAGAAGTCTTGGCAAATAAACATAAAATATCATTTCGATACATCTGGAATATATCGAGTTTTGAGGAGGTTACCTGATTTACGCTTTAAGACGTAGAAAGTTCTAGGGCTTTAGTAATTTCAGGGAAAATATAATTTGCTTGCGACTAACCTCCAAGTCAAATCTGCCCCCACGACCTTGAGTTGCTTTGTTCAAGGCGGCATTCCGTGTCTAAAATATTGGGGGTTGATTGAGCGTATGTTATCTTGGATAAGTTCGTGGTTTTTGCATAGTTAAGTAGTCTAGTGACGTCTGTAAACTTAGAAAATATAACTTTTTCAGTACAAATATTGCATTTGTTTTTGTATACTTATCCACTAAAAAGCTGCCGTTATTCAAGCTCTTTTGAAGACCGTATTGGACTCCAAAAATAACATAATATCAGTAAATACATTGATATGCAATTCTGGGGACTGCTTATTTACGTTGGAAGGAAAATGTTAAGGTCTTTTGGTCAAGCTTCTAACTCAAAAAATATTTCGGTTGATGTAAGTAAATGGATTAGACCTCTGGTGCTGGAGAACTTTTCCTGTTTCAGGATGATTTTCAGGAGGCATATGATGAATTTAAACACATAATATAAGCGCAATTTTATTGCTTTATAGACTACTCACACTCACTCTACGCAAATTTGGGGATAACAGATAACTTCAAACGAATCCTCAATACATACGTATGAAGTCAGTTGCTTTAATGATGTGCTGGTCGATATTTCCTCATCATGTCCACCTGAATTATTAAGGCACTTGTTAAGTAATAGCACTTTAATAGGTTAAAGAAAAGAAGTGTAAACAAAGTATGAGTGGACATACAACTGACAAATGGAGGGGATTCAGAAAGGAGCTGAAAGTATGAGATTATGTGTGGTCATAAAATATAGTGCTAAAAACAGTATTTTGATATACAATTGGCTGTCTTCGTTTTACTATCGATGCTGTTGGAGCCCTTTTCATCTTTTATTTGTATTATTATTATTTTTAAGTATCACAGGGTCTTGAGTAGGTTTCGTATATTATCGAACTGTCTAGTTTGCTTGTAATAGGATTACTGAGTAAGAAGTGAAACCAATTCAACGTTCGTAACACGATTTAATGAGGTATTTTGCATGATAAATCAGCATTAATACCTTAAGTTCGTAACATCCCACTAAACCATAAGGAGCCGTAATTAAACAAAATGTTCTGCTCTACAGACATGGCTGGATTGAATTTATCTCCCAACCGTCACGTTTGCTGGTCAGTAACGCCACCCTCCCTCCTTTTGTGATGTTAGGCTCTCTTATGTTTGTGGTAAGTATGAATAATGCTTTAATCAAAGCCCATAGTTGGAATACACTGTCTCTACTAGGTCCATGTTACAAGCAAATCAGATAGTTGAGAAGTCTGTTTTATGGGTTAGATGTCCATATAGTATATCACACTGCTATAAAGATAACTAATGGTTTAAAGAAGTAAGGACTAATAGCAAATCAAAAGATATGAGAGGGTATAAAATTGTAGAAAAGAAGAAAGATTTTAGGGTAAGAAAAATAAAACATTGAGAAACTCATAAGACTTTGTGGCCAAATTTTAAGCTTTGTATGATCGGCCTTAGTAGATCAGCATCCATAAGATTGAGCTATCTGTCTACTTGCAGTAGAAAAAAGGCATGACTTTTAGGAAGAATAATGTAAATTCAACCTGTGGAGATTTGGGAACTGAAAGTGAGGGTTAGGAGCATAAGGTAATGATTAATAAACAATGAATAATAGGAAAGGATAAGCCATATATTCTGTGATTAGGTTATATTCATATTAATAACAGTCGAACTAGTTATATTCTTGTTCTGTCTAGATACTAGGCGGTCCGTAATAAAGTGCCTTATTGGTGGACGGGAGTTCAAGGAAATGTTGAAGCTCTTTGGAGTCTAGAAATAGAGTTATTAGCCTTTTGAATCTGGTAAACGTATCACAGTTACGGATAGGCATTGGCAGCCTGTTCCACAATAAACTATACCGTACTGTAAAAAACTTACAACGCATTTGTTTTTGGTGTTTTACGGTAAGTAGTGTATATGCGTTGTTTCTAAGTCTATAGACTGGGTCGTGGGTGATAGTCGGGCAGGAGGTTAGAAAGGAGAGCCCATATATCGCTTTGTAGAGAAATATTAAATTGTTCTTTAGCCTACGGTTCCATAAAGGTTCTAAAGATAGATGCTTACATCTATCTGTGTAATTGAGGTTCGAGTTACATCCAAGTAGTTGACGTGTGAGACGTCTTTGAACATCCTCTACTCTTATCTTGTCTGTGATATTCATATTAGAGAAGACAATAGAGCAGTTTTCAAGGGAGGGCCGTACACATATTTTGTAGAGAGTAGGTTCAGCCTCTGTTGTGAAAAAATTTCTCATTATGAAACCAATTAGCCGTCTAGATTTAGAAATAATAGAGGAGGCATGTTCTTTAAAGTTCAGGCTTCCTGTGTAATTAATTCCTAAATCGTGTACTGATTTGAGTGTTTGGACTCTACTTTCATTTAAGTGAAGTTGCGGTTTATAGGGATGCTTTCCAGAATGCATGATCCCGCACTTGTTGAGGTTAAATGGTAATTGCCATTTTCGACTCCAGATAGTTAAGTTATTAGGGTCCTTTTGGATCTGGGATACATTTTCGCTTAGTGTCTCAGGCTTATAGCTGTATACTATTTTGAGATCATCATCATATAAGTATGATTTCCCAAATTCTATGGTGTTACATATATCATTTATATACATAATAAACAAACATGGACCAAATACGCTTCCCTGGATAACTCCACTGGTGATTGGTCTAGGGGACGAGAGACAGTCGTTATACTTTACCATCTGTTTACGTTCTGTTAAGAACGAAGCAAACCATGAGTACAGTGGGTTGTTTATTCCGAAGGACTTTAGTTTCATGAGTAACTTTTGTATGGGACCTTATCCAAGGCTTTCTTCAAGTCTAAGAATAGGACTGATACAAGGAGTCCGCTGTCTCGTTTCAGGGTTATATCATTCAGGTAGTCTACTAGGCATGTATCACATGATCTGGACCTAATAAATCCATGCTGGGAGGTCGAGATGAGATTATTAGTTAGTAGATGTTGGACTACAACCTCCTTAACTACTTTTTCCATCACTCTGGAGACCACTGAAGTTATGTTTTTGGGCCGGTAATTTTCAACGTTTGCTTCAGGTCCTGTTTTTATTTTAGGAATGATATGTGTAGTTTTCCAGGCATTAGGGTAACACACTGTAGATAGTGATATCGCGAATTGTTTGAGAAGCAAAACACACATATCATCACCTCCATGTTTTAGCATGCTAGATGGAATGCCATCTGGTCCATCAGTGTAGGAGTGTTTCAGTTTACTGATTGCCTTGGAGATATTTTGTACATTGAATTCTACATTAGTAATTTCACAGGGAGGTACTGGGATTGGTTCGGAATCATTAGATAGTTTTTCGTTAGTTAGTGAGAAACAAAAGTGTTCACTAAATAATTCTGTGACAAGTTTGGGATCTTCGTATACTTGTTTGCCTTTAATGAATATACTACCTCTCGGTTTAGAACGTTTAAGTTTACTTTGGAGGAGTATGGTGAGTGCAGAGGGGTTATTATTAAGTTCAAATGCACGTTTTTCCTGTGCGACTGCTTTTTGTGTACTTATTGCCTTTGTTCGAACAAGTATTTCTGTCATCGTTACTAAAGAGGAAAAGTCATTTAAGTTGTGGAATCGAGTACAATGTCTTTGAAGATGTCTTCTTGTACTGACCAGTATATAGAGGTCTTTGGAAAACGTGGGTCTACAGTAGTGTTGTTGATGATACTTTTGATGTTGTAATAAAATATATTGGTTAATGTGTCAGTATTGTTTGCAGTAAAGAAAGTTCTCCAATCAGTGCTTCTTAGGTAATTGTGGAAGTTATTCCAATCAACCTTGCGATAGTTCCTACGAAGTGTTACAGCTTTACTTCTACCGGTTGTGGTTTTTACATCAAGGCTACATATGACAATGTTATGATCACTACCTGGAAACTTTTTTCCAATATACAAAGTGTTGGGGATGAGGCCACTGGTAAAGACTAAGTCTAAGATGTTTTGATGTCTGGTAGGACTATCGACATACTGAGTCCATTGTCCAAGCTCTAGACATTCAATAAATGATTCATAACGTCTCGGCGCTTTGACTGGCAGCCAAGAAATTTCAGGCATATTGAAGTCACCACAAATGAGCTTGCCTGTGAATGAGAGGGATGATGCTAGTGTGAATATTTCCGATAATACTGCTATTTCATCTATTGATGCGTTAGGTTGACGATAAACACAGCCGAGCAGTAAGGTAACGGAATTCGACGGCTTTAATACAATCCACACCGAATCCTTCAGTTTGTTTAGTTCGGGCATGTCACATAGAAGTGAGTTTAGGCTAGAGTGAGCGTAAATAAGGCATCCTCCGCCTCGTCCATTCAATCTATCGCTTCTATATAGAAAATAGTTATCAAGAGATATACTTCGGTCAGAAATATTACTGTTTGTCCATGCTTCAGATATCATAATAAGTGATGGTTGATATATGGATATAAACAGGGCTAAATCCGTCTTTTTGTTGCAGATCGATCGAGCGTTGATAAGACATATATTAAGCAAGTGGCCTACTAAGTTAGAATAGGTGAGGGTATCTCGGATAAAGTCGTCGTAACCCTCGCGGGTGTGAGATGAGTTTGAAGTGAGGGATTGAATGTTCTTCATTAGCTCGGTATTTTGATAGCAAGACTTAGTGGGAGATGTATCAAATGAGCTAGTGAAGTTGATTGGGGAGTTTACCCAGGAGGAAAGGGTGGGAGTACTCTCTAATGGAAACTGTACGGAGGAAACAAATTTATGGTTTGCATGTGGTTTGAAATAACTTGGGCTATATGCTTCAACAGAGGTGTCACTAGGGGTCTTATTCCAAAAAAATCTTGTACAGGCCTACTGTGAAGTGTATGGTTATTTACAAAATAGTCTTGATGGTTAGACTCGTAGCCCCTGTTATGGCTATTTAGGTTAGCGTGAGAGGGGTCTGCTACGCGTAACTGGGAGGAGTTGCGACTGTTGTCATACATGGGAGCCGTCGTTATGTGATGGGTCGGTACTAAAGG